CACACACACACACACACACACACACACACACACACACACACACACACACACACACCACTGGTCAGCCGGGGGAAGCAGGAGGCAGGTTAAAAACAGAAGCGCGACCATTTCTTTATTAAATTATACAAAAAGGATAAAGGGGAGAGGGGGCAGCTGTGGGGCTCAGCCCCAACCCCAGCCTGGTGCTGTCAGGGGGTGGGGAATCTGAGGGAGATCCAGGGATCAGGCAGGGAGAGTGGGAGAGAAGGCAGAAGGGGAAATCTAGGAATATGGAAAGGGGTAGAATTGGATTTTGAAGAATCAACTGGGGGATGAGAGGAGATATGAGGATATGGAAAAGAAGAGTAGTCTGGGGAGCAGCTGGGGAGCTCAGGGATAAGGAAAGTTCAGGAGGTGAAGGAATGGAGAGGTAAAAATTGGGATATCTGGAGAGGGAACAGTAAGAAGGCTGGGGAGAATAGGAGGGGGACAGCTCTGGGGAGGAATCCAGAACAGGGAGCCAGGCAAAAGGCCGCTGCACTTATCCCTCCCCATCTCACTTCCAAGCCCCGTGGGGTCCTCCCCACCCTCAGCCCAGACGGCTGAGGCTCACACCGATGCCCCATTTTCTGTCTTCTGCCTTTTGGGATCGGCTTCATCCTGCAGAGGGAAAAAGGATTTACATGAGTGCAAAACAGAAGCAGGATCTCCTTCTAGTCCCAGCTCTGCCCCATACTCCAGAGGATCTTGGTTCAGACTCGAAAGGGGCCCCAGGATCTGTCATTCCCCTGACATCCCCTCCAGTCCCTGGACCCAGCCCCAACCTCATCCTCAGCAGCTCTCTTCAGTGCAGGCCCTTCATCATCATCTTCCTCCTCTTCCTCATCTGTGAAGCCAGAAATTGGTCACTGTGGAGGGGCAAAGGTCATCTCCAGAGACCACTGGAAGCAGCCCCTGACCCTTGCTTCAGTTCTTCAACTCTGACTTGATTCTATTTCCATAGTTCCCCATCATTCCCGACACTCTTTGATCTCACCTTCCTCCTCACCCTCATCATCATCTTCTCCATCCTCTGCAGTCTCCTCCTCCTCCTCTTCTGCTCCATTTTCCTCCTCCTATGAGTACCAGAAAACATGATCATGTTGGTTTGGGCATGTACCCAATAGATTAGTCCCGGGGGGAGAGGGAGGGATCTCAGGCAACAGACCCCCAGGGATGTTAGGGTCTCACCATGGCTTACCACCCTCTCTTCCCCTCTGTACCTCTACCACGTCTTTCTTCCTCTCTTTCCGACTAGTCTTCTCCTCTACTTTTTCTTTCTTCTCCTTCAGGTCCTGTGGAAGAAACAAACAGGTCATCTGTTTCTTACCACCATATTCGACAAAGAGTGAACTGCCTTTCTATCACCGTCCTTTTCTTCCCTTGCCCCCACCCTCAAGCAGCTCCCTGGAAGAAGGGAGGGCATTAGTACAATGTGACAAAGCACCCAATGGCTCTTCATGTGGGACAGGAAAAGTGCCAAGTTACTCTAGACGAACTCCTCCCTGTAGGCTGCATTCGGGGAAGGGATTGAGAAGAAACAGATCGTCACCTTGGTGGCTTGCTGATTCCCACTTCCCTGAACATCCCCTTCTCTGCCCCCCCCCACCCCTTTTTGAGTAGCTGAAAAGCTCAGCTCAGCAAAGCAAATCCCTTCCATCTGCTCTGGCCCTTAATGCCCCACCCCCTCCCAATGTCCCTCCTCCTCCGCCAGGCCCCCTCCTACTGCCCACCCCTTTGCCTTTTGTCTACCTCTGGGGCCTCTATGTGCATGTTTTCTCTTGAGCATCACTCCCCCCCCACCTCACAGCCTCCCCCAGCTTCTCTCCCCTTTGGTCTCCTCCTTTGTCTCTCTTAGTCTCTGTCTCTGTGTCTCCCTTTCATGCTGGGTATTCTGCTAAACATTCTACCCGAACTGAAGCAGCACTCCACTAGTGTCCTCCTCAGCCTTCAACTCTTCCTATACTAGGTCCCAAAGTGGGTCACAAGGTCAAGTGCCTTCCCCTGACTCCTCCTCCTTCCTTCTACAAAGTTCTTGGGGGAGTGGGGGGGGGAAGCAGCCATTGGTAGGGTAGGAGGTCAGGTGGGGGATGGGTACCAGGGGGGAAAAGAGAAAGAGAGAAAGAATGGAGAATAGGATGGCGAGGAAGACATAATGCAATAAAAAAGACAGGTGTCTTATGGCCCAAGGCCAGAGAGAAAGTCTGGGGTGGTCTGAGAATGCAGAAGGGAGTTACTGGCTGACTACTCCAGCACTTACTGTCTTCCTCTTTACCCCAAGAGGCTCAGCACTCTCTTTACCCCATCCCCACTTCAAGTACCCTGTGAGTGGCTCCTGTCAGTAGGAGCAAGAACGAATACCCATTGAGGCTCAAAGTCCTCCCTCTCCCTCCCCCTTAACACTGTGAGGGTATTTTTTGTATCCCTTTAATTTTCCGTGTGATCAGTTCTGATGTGAGCGTGCAATACTGTGTGCCTCAGATTCCACACATGTTTACTTAATTCTGTCTATGAGTAGGTCACTCTGTATGTCCCCATTCTGAAGGAAGATTAGAAGGGGGGGGGCTAGTGAGAGTGTGTTACATTTGATTGGTCTATAGAGACTCTCATCCCCTCTCCATGAGGAAGCACCTACTCTCTTTCCTTCTCTCTTGTAGTCTGGCTCCCCTAACATCCTGCTTCTCTATCCTCATTTCCCAGCCACATGGTCTGTAGGTCATTTCTTCAACCTCTTCTTCTTCTCCCTGGGGATAGGGATGGTCTCTCATCCTAGTGTTAGAAAGCTGAGATTCGGCCCAGGCTCTTTCCTACCTCACTAGGAGGCCCCATGCCTCTTTAAGCTATGGTCTGAGTTTCCCATCTGGGTCAGGGGAGATAAGAGAGGAAGGAAGGGGGAGAGAGCTACAAAGTGCCAGGGAGGCCAAAGTCCAGGGGACTGAGTCCTCTCCTCCTGTCACCCCTGCCTGGCTTGGTCACTGTCCCTGGTTTTGTTTTATTTTTCTTCCCCCAAGAGGGGTACAAGGCCCTAGTGCTACTAAGCTTTCTCTGTGCCAAGCATTCTCTGGCCTCATTTACACACTTCTACCCAAACACTGACACAGACAGACACTGATTCAAATACACACACAGAACCAAAGAGAAGTACCCAAGCTATAGTATACACACAGACACATGGCCTGGTGTTTGGACATCTTAACACGATATGCACCAAGACCACAAACAGCACAACAAAGACACTGTGCATTCATGACCTCTTCTCCTCCTCCCCAGCCCCCAGCCCCATCATGGCTCTAGAATCACAGATTTACAGCTGAGAATGCCGTTTAGAGCCTCTCCAACTTCTTCATTTTACAGAGGAAACTGAGGCTCAGAGAGGAGAAACAATTTGGCCCAAGGTCACCCAACTAGGTAGCCAGTGGATAGTAGACCAGAACTCAGGTCTCCTAATTCCTAGTTCAGAGTTCTTTCCACTGTAACAAGCTGCCTTTCGTGTGTCCTAAAACCCTTCACATACTGACACTGTGAGACCCACCATCACTTCACACAGAGGTGCATACCCATGGTTGGTTTTACATATAATAACACCTAACTCAGTCACACGCCATCACACATAGTATACTTTGTTAGACTCCCAAGAACATACAAGCATAAGAATCTAAGAGACCAAGGACAGGAACACACACTCTTCCCTCCCTCCCCCACTGCCTTTAATCCCATTGGTTCTGCCTCCTTTTCTTTGCCAAGCCTCAGGGAGGCCTCCACCCCCAGCTCTTCAGGCTCCCAGGTCCCCAGCTCTTGGCTTCCAGCCTCTAAACCTTGGCCCCATTAATTTCCAAATCGGCCCTCTGACAGGACTCGGCAAGCTCGGATGAGAGAAGGATAGGAAGACTAGAAAAGAGGAAGTTGTAACGGAATGCAGGGCAGGGGAGAGGGATGGCGTGCCCAGATTTAACCTCTCCCTCGTTCTTCCCTTTTTGCCTAAGGTATCCACAACCTTTAGGAATGGGGACGGGTTCGATGGCGAGAAGAGAAAGCTAAGGGCCAGCTGACGGAAACAAATGGATACAAACGGAAGGGAAGGGAAGGAAGACCGAAAATGGACAGACAGTGGCTTTCACAGCTGGAGGGAAGGGACTGGGGGGTCGGGACAGAGGAGAAAAAGAGCCCCTCGAGGCTCCGGTTCCACTCGTGGATCTCAAACCGCTTACCGGGCGTCAAGGTGAGGTCGGACGAAGAAGAGTGGAGGCTAAGGGGCCGGACGCGAGGTGAAAGAAAAGTGAGAAGAAAGACAGGGGGCACGGAGCAGAAAATGACCGGGTCAAGGAGGGGCAGCCGGGGCACCCGAGGGAGGACTTTGGGGTCCTCGGCAGCAAAGGAGCCGTAGTGGCGGCAGACGGGGAAGCTAGAGGGCGCTGGCGGGAGCCGAGGGGAGCCGGGGTATGGAGAGCCAGGCTCCCGAGCGGGCGGCGGGGGAGGGTGCCCATGGCACAATCCAGAAGCTGCTGGGGAGCCGAGGGGAGTCGGGATAGGAGCGCGGGGAGAGGCAGAGAGAGAGATGCCGAGAGGGAGAGGGCGGCGCGGGGCGCGGAGAGGCAGCGGATCGGCGCACCCCGAGGGCGCAGGGCGCAAGGCTCAGCTGCCTGCGCCCTCCGTACCTTGGCGCTGAGCTCGGGCGCTGTCTCCACGCTCTTCTCCGACATGGTGCCGGGGCCGGGGCGGGCAGGGAGCCGGGGTCCCGGATCCCGGGAGGAGGGAGCCCCTGGACGGCTGGGGGGGTCCGGTGGCGGCGACTGCGCGCTCTGCAAGCTCCGACCCTCCGAACGAGGACGGAGAGCGGGGTGGGGCGGGGGAGGGTCTGGAGCAGAGACCCGCAGAGAGCTGTCCTTCCTTCAGCCCGCAGGTGCACAGCTTTCGGTGCCCAGGTCCCCAGGCTCGTCGCCCCCGCACCACCAGAGCCGCCGCCGACCAGCCGCTGCCGCCCACGGCCAGGGAACCCGCTTATAAGGCGGCGCTGCCCGACGGGAGGGGCTTCCCAGGGGTGGGGCAGGCGGGAGCTGGGAGGAGAGGGGAGGAAAGGGAAGGCAAGGCTAGGAAAGGAAAGGGGAGGGGAGGGAGATAAAAGAGGAGGTTGGAGAGGTGGGGATAGGAGGATGGAAATGAGGGGAGGAGGAGAGGGGAGAGGGACAGAGAAAGAAGACACAGAGACCCAGAAAGAAGAGACCCAGAGAGAAGACAGACGCACAGGGAAAGAAGAGACAGAAGTCGGAGGGAAGTGGGAGAGAATGATAAAAGGAGAAGACAGAGAGAGACAAAGAGTCAAAAGTCATACAGGGAGAGCGAGCAGAGACTGAAACTGGAGAAAGGATGCGACCGAGGGCATGAGGGGAAAGGAGAAAAAGGAGTGGAGTGGGAAGGGGTGGGGCTTTTGCTAGGTGGGCTCTCTCCAGATTTCTAATTTGGATTTCGGAGGCAGTTCTTCAGGCATGGGCTAGGAGGGAAGGCCAGAGGGTGTGACAACTCTTACATTTAAAATATATTTATTATCAAATGTTAATTATTAAAACATTTTCAATAATTTGAACAAGTATTTAAATAAATACCTCATCAAATGAGATAATATATGTAAAGTGCTTTGCAAACCTTGAAGTGCTCACATGTATACGTGAGCTGTCATTGTTGTTATTATTCCGCTCAAAAAACTTTAGAAGAGAGGCCTTGGGAGCCAAGCTGGGTGGGGGCAGATGTGAAGAAATAACGCAACTATTTGACAGCTATAGCGAGGGACCATAGGCCTGAGAACAGAGGAGGAAAAAGCTGCTCCCAAACTTAACTTCCTGAGCCTGGCCTCCCCTCCCGATTCCCACGCTTTTCCCTTGGTACCTTTGGAGGATGGAGATAGAGGGAAGGAGGGTCCATCCTTTTAGCTGAGGAGTGACTGGAATTTGTGTTTACTTCACCCTTGCTCTGAGGAACATCCAGAGCCTCTTTTCCATGATCCTCTGCTTTCTCCCATCTTCCCATATCCTAGCTCTTCTCAACTAGTTTTCTTCCTCTTTGTCTAGTTCTTTGTACTCACCTCTTCTTTTGCCCCCCACCCCCAGGTTACACTGTAATTACCATTATGTTTTCCCTATATCTGCTTGTCTCCCTTGAAACTTGACTTTTACCTCCATTTCATCTTCTCTCCACCTTCTCCATCCTTTCATATAATTTCATCTCCTGACAATGTCTGTCAACCTTTCATTTGATCTCCTGACCATGTCTGTCATCCTTTCATTTGTTCCCTATTCTACCCACTTCTCTCCCTCATTCTATAAATTCTCCCTTTATCCATTTTTGTCTTAGCCAGGCAGCACTCTTATCTGTCTCCTGTCTTATCTGGCCTCATGATCTGGACCTTCTCAATCTCAACTATCCCCCCCCCATTTTGCTTAATTTTTTCTTACTTTTTCTTCTCCTCTCCCCCACTTCTAGGGGAGATACATATTTATTGAGCCTCCTATGTGCCAGGCACTGTGGTAAGCATAAATATCTCATGTGATAAAATGACTCTATCTTCAAAGTCCCTCTTCCCAAATATCTCTCCTTCCTCTCTACAAATGTAACCTCATATTCTCACCATGTTTCTCTTTCCCTCATTCTTTCTCTGTCTTCCCTTGAATCCATCACTCTTTTGTAGTTCTTGGATTCTAATTTCACTCCACCTCAGCCATTCTTTTCCCTTCACCTTAAACCTAGTCTCATCAGTATATCTTCAACTAGGAAAGTTTGCTCAAACTCAAGCTTTCTGAGCAATTGAGGTGGAAGAAGAAACAGAGACCATATGCTTATAGAGGGAAGAAAAGGTTCATCAACTGGGGTTTAGGGCAGGAAGTTTTATATATTTGTTTATCCTTATATTTTTCTACCATTATTTTTCCTCATAGTTTTTTCTTGATCATTTTCACTTGAATAAGCATCCTAATATTATTATAATTATTAATGACCACTATATTATTAATTCTAATAAATATTAATAACCATCATTAATATTTATTGAGAATGGAAATAAATCATCCTTGGGTCTATATCTCTATCCCCTTCCTCCCTAATTTCACCTTGGGGTCCCCCTTCTCTTTTCTCCATCTTTTCTTCCGTGTCTCCCATCTTTACCTATGCCAGCCTCCCTCTGATCTTCCTTTGACCATATGATGTCTGTCTGTCTCTCCCAGTTCTGTTTATCTCTGTCCATCTTTCTTCTAAGCCTGTCTCAATCTTTCCCCTTAATTTCTTTCTATTCTCACCGTGTTTCTCTTTCCCTCTCTCTTTCTCTCCCTGAATCTATCACTGTCTGTCTTCTTCCCTCTCCATGTCGTTCTCCTTGTCTCCCAATTTCTCTCACCCTCTCCCTGTCAGTCTCCTTTCCTCTCCCTCCTGCCGCCCGCCTCCCGTCCCCCTTCCCCGCCTCCCAGCCCCGCCTGCTGTCTCGGACACCCTGCTGGGTTCTTACCCCGGTTGCCCGGGTAACCACCCCGCCACACACTCTGGTCACCTCCACCCTATCTCTCCCGCCCCCCGCCCTCCCACCACCTTCCACCACCCTCCATCCACCTTCCTCCAATTTTTCCCAAGAGCCAATGGGAACACTGTTGCCAGGTGGAATGCTCATTTGAATCAGCCAATCCTAGTACCCATCCGCTTGCCCTGCCTTATTTGGGTATGTGAGCGGGGCCAGTCCCCCTCCCCCCTCCACTCCAACGCCTTGGGGGCTTTGGCCCCCAATTGCCCGCCTCTTGCCGCCCCAACACACACCCCTGATTAAGAACCCCTTCTCTCAGTCCCCCATAAGGGGTTTTAGTCCCCATTTCTCCAACTGGGACTGTCTGTGGGAGCTGTAGGGTGTGGGCTGGGCCCCCGGGGCGGGAATGGGAATGGGGTGTGATTGGGGAAGGGGCGGAGGGGGCTGGGATTTTTGCCCAGGGAGGGGTGTCTGGGAGCCGAGGCAGCTGCAGTGGAAAATTCCAGGGAGATGGAAGCGAAGAGGAGAAGCCGACACTGGGAATGCTGCCCCCAAGCTCCCCTAGAGCCCCGGAGATTCAGGGAACTGGGACACCAGGGTTGCAGGGGAGCAGAATCGAAACTAGGAAGCAGGAGACCTGGGTTCCATCCCATTTCTGGGAAGGGGTGGAGGGAGGACGCTGACCTTCTGCCTGAGATAATGGACAGCCGTCACCTGAATGCCTCCAGAGGCCTCCAGAGATAGGACGAGGTCGGAAGTGCTGTAATGCTAAGGTTTGGAGGGTGGGGGGCTGCAACCACCGCCCGAAGGGTTCCTTTGCGGATGATTAGTCATCCCTGGGTCCCTGGAAGACCTCCACTTCCATTTTAATTCCACCCTTCTCTGCAAAGGTCGTGAGACTGAGTGTATCTATCTATGCATAAGTAGGACAGGGTACAGGACATGGTCACAAGGCTGCTCTTTTCCATAGACTATCTTACTCTTTCTGAGGCTCTTACTAGACTATTCCGCGTATGATGCACTGTCCTGTTGGGATTATCGCCCTAGAGGGAGACTGATATCTTGTGAAGAAAACTAATTTTTTTTTAATACCCTTCAGAGGGTGATAAGGAGAGGAGCAATGGAATGGCATAGGAGAAATTTGCTCAGGCTGCCGTGTGGTCATTATTCCCAACCTGAATTATCCTCATCTCGCTCCTAGTGAAATCTTTTCCTCCTTAGCTTCCCTTTCCTTTGTTCTTTTTTTGGTTTCGATTCTAAATTTATATCTTAGAATATCCCTGTTCCTAACCCCAGCCTGGAAAAAAAGAGTTAGAAGTTGGGTTCTTAGGTTCCCGAACTATCTTCATTCATCAAGGTTCCTTTTCCTTCGTATCTCCCCCTCAACTTTTCCTTAGCTGTTGTAATTTTTTCTCTTTTCAGATATTAAGCTAGAGGATAGTTGAGGGAGATGGAGCTCCTTCTGAGGCCCAAACAAGTCTAACAGATCAAGAGAATGTGTTGCCTGCCTAAGGAGTACTCAATAAGTAAGAATTCATCACAACACTGTCACATTTATAAAGAATACTTAACCGGAGACAATACTGTTCACTATCATCATCATCATTGCTTCACAAGTCTTAGAATTAAGCCAACTTGAATCCATTTACTTTGTCTGCCTCCCCGTTTCTAGGTATCAAGTCTAAATTCCTTTCCCCAAAGTTCAAGGCCTTCAATAATCCACCCCACTGTTCTTAACTTTTATTGCTGTGTCCACAGGTCAGGACAGTCTCTCCTCCCTGTTCTTTAGTGTGGAATGCTGTCTCCCCTCCTATATAAATCATATCCATTGATCTGATTCAAATATATAAGGACAAAGACTATTCCTTAATAGCTAAATGGTCAACATTATGAACAGACAGTTCTCAAAGGAAGAATTTAAAGCTGTCAACAACCATGTGGGGAAAAAAAATGCCCCAACTGGCTAATACTTAGAAAAATGCAAATTAAAACAACTCTGGGAATCCACCTCAAGACTCATCAGATTGGCAAAGATGACAGAAAAAAAAAAAGAAAATAACAATTGTTGGAAGTGCTGAGGGCTTGAGGGAAGACAGGCACTGTTGGTAGAGCTGTGAATTGGTCTAGCCTTTCTAGAAAGCAGTTTGGAACTATACCCCAAAAGTAACCAAACTCCATATAACCTTTTGACCCAGTAATCCCACAAATATACCTATACCTCAAAGAAATCGAAGGAAGATGAAAATATGCACAAAAGTGTTTATAGCAGGTCTTTTTGTTGTAGCAAAGAACTGGAAACTGAAGGGGTGCCCATCAATTGGGAAATGGCTGAACAAATTATGATATATGAATATAATAGAATGTTAGTACTATAAGAAATTATGAAAGGGATGGTTCCAGGAAAACATAGGAAGACTTATATGAATTGATGCAGACTGAAGTCAGCAGAACCAAATAGAACTATTTGTATGACAACAATAACAGTGTA